CTTTATTCTTGGCTAAATAATTGAGATATTTTCTTAGACCTTTTGTTTTTCCTGTCATCATAGGAGAGCGAATCAAAGTTGTACTGGGTTCTTTGCTCAAGAAATTGGGATAAGCTTCTGGAAAATCTTCCATTTCCTTTACATTAATAACTTCTCCAGATAATTCAGGAAGTAAACGGGGATTTAATACAGCTTTGGCTATTCTTTCAATTAATCCCAATTTAGGCTTCACTTTCAATTCGATTTTATCTGATACCTTACCGAAGCTCAGTCCCTTGTGTTCTGGTTTGTATTGTTTTTGGCGATAACACTTAAGTATAAAATCCCCATTTTTTTGAATAAATCCATAGAGTTGATCCTTTTCATGTTTAACTTCACATATAGGACATTCTTTAACGGATTGTGCCTGAAAGTTAATGAACCCTTTCTCAGATCTCCCAGCCTGGAGCCACTCATATTTCGCAATAGCTAAGTTAGCCCCATTAACTAAAGCATTTTCATCATCAATAGGTAAAATTAATAATCTTAAATTATCCAGACTCAGAATCTGTAATTATCAAGATGAAAAGAGTTTATCCGTAGATAAGTGGGATATTATCATAGTTCAAGTTGAGAGTCTATCTCGTATAGAATTCTCAGCCCGTCCGATTGTAGCTATTTTAGATGAAGTCAATGCAATTCAACGTCAAATGAATAGCGGTTCAAATGCGCGGGAATCTGAAAATGCAATGCGTGATGCATTAAGATCGGCTCAACATGTTTTAGCCATGGATGCATTTGCAAATGAAAGTACACTAACATTTCTCAAAGCTTATCGTGGTGAAAATATCCGAGTAATTGATAATAAATTCCAACCACTTATAGGTAAGACTGTTGAATATCTTTACGACCCAAATAGTGGGGCTGAAGCTATGCGAATTGGGTTTGAATTTCTCAGACAAGGCAAACGCGTGGCATTTGTTGTAACAAGCTCTAATATGGCTCGAGCATTAGTAAAAGAAGCTTCTAAATTATCTTTCAAAGCTCGTGCCTATTATGGAGATATGGATGGAAAACAACGAAAAGAAGACTTCTTAGATATTAATACTGCTTGGGGTGAACTTGATTGTGTAGCATACACGAGTACAGTGGAAGCGGGCATATCTTTTGAAAAGGCTGATCACTTTGATGCGGTTATAGGCATTACAAATATTGCAACTCCAGTTAATGTTGAAGCCTTTATCCAAATGATGTTTCGAATTCGTGATTGTAAAAAGCGTATACTATCTCTCTATTATCAAAACATTTCCAATGA